AATTTACATTGTTTAAATGGGAGAATTCGCAACTTCACCACGTAATATAAAAAAACCTCGGCCATATTTTGAAAATCTGAAAAGAGTTGGCTTATCTAGAGACAATTGCCCGTCGAAAGCCGCAAAAATCATGAAAATCGGCCCGGTAGAACGCTGGAACTAAGCGTTACCAGTTTCGCAAAATTAGGAGGTCTCGGAGCTTATAATATAGATGCGCATAACAGGGCTCACGTCATAATGCACATTGTTCCGTCTGATAGAAATACGTCTATTTATTTATTGCACGATACGAAAACCACGATAATTTGGAGAGGAAGTAATCAGGAAAGTTAGGATGGCATCATCTTGGCTTTTTAATGACGTTTTCTCATTAGCAATCTCGCACCAACCAGGTAGAGAAAAGAGAGCGCCGTAGCTAAAAAAAATTGGCCTAGCTTTTTTTTTAGTAAGATGATTGACCTATTTATTAATTTAAATAAGGAAATGATTGATTGCTTGCAGGTCGCGCTGGGTTACAAGAACCGAGGTCGTCTGACTTACAATTGCGGAGGCACCCTCATAAGTGAGAACTTCGTTTTGACGGCCGCCCATTGCATCAACACCAGCTTGTAAGTTCACTCGTTTCGCATGTTATACACCCGCATTAAAAGCAGACGGGTTTCTATCCCTTCTTTTTCTTCCATTTTTTTCGGTGCAGATTATCAATCAATAAGACCAGGATTAGTTATCTGGCCGTAGGTGCCAAATCAAGTGTTTTATTCAAAAATTGCCATCTCTGACATGTTGCCTATTTCAGTGTATGAAATAGACTGCATGGACAGTTATCGCATTCGAGTGTCGTTTCGATATTTTTCCTCTGAAAAACCCCTGCCTTTATTCTGATGAATTTCTTTGTCAAATTTGGCACATGAATTCTTTGGTCTCGTGACAACACAAGTGCGATCTCAAAATTTGAAAAAAATGAATAGTATAGCTGCAATTATGGAACGAATTGATCTGATGTATCGCACGTCGCTCTGACGCAAAAAATGGCAACCGTCGAATCACCTTAAATTCGAAACCTTATCCAGGGGTGAATGAAAATAAACACTAAGAAGTGGCCCGAACTGTATGTAACAAACTGGAGAAGTGGTGCTTGGTCCACACTATTTCGCGGTGAAACAAAAGCCAAGAAATTCCAAAAATTAAAATTAGAGTCAAAATTAAATTTTTGAACTCTAATGCGCACTAGTACGAAACTGAGGGGAGAGAGTGTTCAGCTCAGGCAGTTTGCATTGGAATATTAAGTTGGAGTCACGCCGAGAGATCTATACCGGTTTGGGCCTTATTGGACCTCATCAGCAGATCACACTCGACAGTGAACCCAACTTAACATGCCGCAAAATCCAAAACGGAGCTGAACACTCTCCCCCCTCAGTTTCGTACTGGTGCGCATTAGAGTTCAAAAATTTAATTTTGACTCTAATTTTAATTTTTAGAATTTCTTGGCTCTGTTTCCCCGGGAAATGGTGTGGACCCAGCACCATTTCTCCATCGAGGGGTGAATGTACGGCCATATTTTCGCCTATCACGCAGCTAGGGATATTAAAATCGAATTGCGTTCTGTTTTTCAGAGGGAAACCTGTGCAGGTTCGTCTGGGCGAGCTGATCCTGAACAACGAGGATGACGGGGCAAGCCCTGTGGATGTTCGGGTGGAGCGGACAACAGTGCATCCCGATTACAGGGACGACCAAAAGTACAACGACATCGCTCTCGTCCGCCTGGAGAGGGAAGTCTCCTTCAGCAACTCCATCCGGCCAGCGTGTCTCCATCAGCAGCGGGACCTGAGCCGGAGCGAGCTCCCCGTAGCCACCGGATGGGGTACCACTGATTATGGTTAGTATCAACATTTTTCGCCCACGATTTAGGGTGAATTAGAGTACCTATTTACTGAGAGTAAAGACACTAAGAATCCATTTCTGATCTGTCCCCGTATTTTAGGCCTCCACGGTGTCACAAACGGGAATAAAGACTACATTTCAACCGATCACTGGAAAAAAACACATTGGATCTAGAGTCCATCTCCTGAAAACATTGACAAGAAAAAATACTCTTGATTCAATCGGACTTTTGCTTGAATCAAAACGAAATCCGCTTAAATTAAGAGGCTTGGTTCTTGATTTGAGTTAGATTCTGATTGAATCAAGAGAACTTATTCTTGTCGATGTTTTTAAGAGTCTGGACTCTAGATCCAATGGGTTTTTTTTCAGTGATTACAAAGATTGTAACGTTGAATGGACCGGGGAATTGAGGGAACGGAGGAACAAACGGAATGAGAGTAGGAACGGATACAGGATTTCGAGATTGAGTTGATCAAAGATTACGAAAGACGTTCACTTTGTATTATCTTTATTTCCGTTTGTGACATCCGTGAGCCGCGTTGTCTTAGCTCTCTTTATAAAGGGGCTCTAGGGTGATTCGTCAAGCTTCCTGACGCAAAGTCCAACTGGAATTTGGTATATCGTATTGATTAGGTAAAAAATCTCAACAGATTTTGAATTTGTAGTAAAAAAGTATGTTTTTCGTTGAAAGCGATTTTTATAAGTCAGCACTCTTCATCTAAAAAGTAAAGCAACCGCATCATACTCGCTAAGCTACGCTGCTACACTGTTGATTCGGTTTTTAAAAGGCTGCAACTATTCGGCCTCTCAGGCCACGCTAGGGAAGTATCTTTTCTGGTTGAAGGCGTTTTTTATGCGTTGACACTCTTAGTCTTAATCTAGAAAAAGAAGTGGCCCCCACTGCTACCCTGTTGATTGGGTTTTTAAAGGATGCAACTATTTGGCCTCTGAGGCCACGCTAGGAAGCATATTTTCTGGTTGCAGGCGTTTTTTATGCGTTGACACTCTTAGTCTTAATTTAGAAAATGAAGTGGCCCCATTCCTAAATAAGCTACGCTACTACACTGTTGATTGGGATTTTAAGGGATGCAACTATTCGGCCTCTGAGGCCACGCTAGGAAGTGTCTTTTCTGGTTGAAGGCGTTTTTTTATGCGTTGAAACTCTTCATTCAGCAATGCAGCAACCGCATTACTCGCTAATCTACCCTGCAACACTGTTTATTGGGAATGGATCACTAGACAAGGTACGAATTTAAGCATTCCGGTACATGTTTCTTAACCAAAATTTCACGTAGAACACGATTCGCGAAACGAAAATTACTGAAACCAACTCCTAACGAAGATATTAACCTTTTCATTTCACATTG